ACAGTACTACTATCATGGCTTATATATTGCTAACCCAAGCGTTAGACTACATTCCTAACAGGTCCTTCTTGTTTGAATCACGTGAGGTTGGCGAGAAACATATTGCATTGTATTAAACGTGTTCTGACCTAGGCTTCCCCAAAAAGCACAGGGCAGAGTCCCGACAAAACCCCTTTTATTAAACAAATGTGAATTCCTCTCATTCACATTCAGCAAAGACTTGGCAAACAGTCTTTCAAAGAAATACTTATGACCACAGACCTTATCTATCTTGGAAAGCTGCCATGTACTGTAAATATTTTCCAAAGGAGTTGCTGTGGAAGGAAAGACTGGGCACAGAGTCTCTGAGATTCATGGACAGATCTTCACACTCCTGAAACGAATCCAACGACCGAACGAACCAATTGGTTCCTGCAAAGCCCACTCCCCTTTCGCTCCTCTTTTATTTCCCATGGGAGGGGCCAATCACTTTCCACTGTGACTTTACTCCTAAGTCTACCCTGATTTCTGAGTTGTTCTTTTCTTCAGGCAGCTCTGCGCATGCGCACACTGGGAACAATCTCCAGCTGTTCCTATGTCTCATTGTTGTCTAGCTCCGTAGGCACCTGATCACTGCCAGACGGCCTCAGCCCCGTCTCGGCCTCCGACGCAGAGCCCTCGTCCGAGCCTTCCCCAGCCTCCAGGACTGGCCCAAGTTCCTCCTCAGTCTCCTCACTTTCTGACTTTGCTGTCAGCTCTGTTGGACGCTGGCCAGCCACAGCAGGAAGGGAGTTCACTTAGCTAAATAAATTGGGGGCAGAAAATTCATCGTTGAGTGGTGCGATTGTTAAATGAGGCTTCAAGTCACCACGTCCAATTTTATGACCTTTCTCTTTTACCATAGTCATTCAGTGAAACACACAACTGTTAAGTAAACCACATGCTTGTTAAACAAATCTGGCTGTCCCTTGACATGGCCTGTTGGAAGCTGGCTGGGAAGGTGGCAAATCACAATTGTGTGACTGCAGGACACGACAACCTTTGTAAATGCAAGCCAATTGCCAAGCATCCAAAATCCCAATCATGTGGGGGCGACCGGTGCAACAGTTGTAACTCTGAGGAAGGATCAAGGGTCATTTTTTTCTGTGCTGTTGTAACTTCAAGCAAATCATTGTAAGTTGAGGACTATCCATATAGCAATAGCACTTATATTTATATACCGATTCTCAGTGCTTACAGCCCTCTCTTAAGTGGTTTACAATGTTAGCATATTGCCCCCAAAAATCTGGGTCCCCATTTTACTCAGAAGGATGGAAGGCCTGACTCGGAATCTATTGTCACCTGCAATTCTAGCTTAAGAACAGAAACGGAATAGAGGGGTAGAATCCTTGGGGGAGTTGTGGGGGAGGGCTGAGGGAGCCAAGCAAGCCAGCTAAGTCTGAAAAAGTTCCTATGCTTCACAGACTGTTTCCCAAAACACAAAGAATGCATTGGATTGGTGGACAATGGATGGTGGATGGCCGAAAGGGGGAATTTGCCTATGGCACTTTCTGTGGGAACCTTTAGAATTGGCTTTGCTTCTTCCGTGCCTATATGGATCTAACAGTAAAGTGATACTCTTGGTAAAATTATGACCCAGAAGTTG